TCACCCAATATCCCCCGTAAATATACTAATAATAGATAAGACAGACTGGACAAACTGGTTTACAAATACAAACGTCACATCCATCTCGCGCTCCACTTTCACTTTCACGTGCCATACTCGCGCGCGCGCTAAAGTCCATGTCGCAATGCGCCACGTACCGAATAATACGAAAGGTTGACTTCTGGTTCTGACACGCGAACGCCTAACGATAATATTAAAACAATAAAAATGCATATAGCACATATATTAAAATATGTCAAAATAACATTACTACAGATAAATAGAATGACGTCCGTTAGGACGTCATGATTATTTATCTGGCATCCAGATTGCATTCATATTGACAATAAATGCAATCTGACAGACGTTCAATGGTTAAGTAGAAAGCATCTAGTAACACACACACATAACACTCACGCACACATAAGGTATTATTATGTATATATTGATAACGAATTGGTGTATTTTCTCTTTCTTAAAGTCATGCACAATAAATACATATTAGGTGTTATACCTTTATCTATCCTGGTATGCACATAGCATAGTTATAAACAAAGTTCTTCTTATATGCAGTTATATGATACTTTTTTTATCTCAGCCACACGCCAAATGACAGACAAATTACTTTGGTTGCAAATCAAAAGTTTTAATGTTAAATCTAATATAAATTAATCAAACGAATATATCTTTTTATACAAGCATCAAATTAGTAAGGTGGGCGAAAATATATGTATACATCAATATATAAGTCATTATTCATTTTCCACATTGCATTGTTATAGGAATAACATAAGAGTAATCACCATTATCTGAAGTGTGTTTTTCTTTTCTTAAAGGCTAAATAAATATATTTGCCAAGATTATTTAAGTCCTTCACATTATCTATACTTAACAGCTGTACTAGTTTGAAAACGCTAGGTGATTTATAATAATAATTTTCAATATACCTTCGTCTTAATTCCTTATAAAAACACACTGGAGTATGAAACAAAATTCGTCTTCAATTTCATTGTTTTCGCAGCATTCACCTATTCTGCGTCTCCTTTCAATGTTAAGATAGCGCCCGTTTTCAATTTTAACTGATGTGACGACACTCTAATGCTTGCTAAACATTGTTTATAAGTATAATCGATGGGTTTTAGTAAATAATATTGCATGCAATAATCATCGATCAAATGTTTATATAGGTTACCTCTGACAGCATTATGAATTCTTGCTCTCATTTCCTGTGAGTAACAATCCTTAAATCTCTGTTCTGTTATTTTATATAGGTTAGTATTTACAGTATCTATATTCCAAATATAAGATAAGCCTAATTTATCTAGTTCTAGTGCTCGCTAATACAGTCAATAATAGATGTGTAAAGAACATTGTTGTTGGTACACTGGGGTACCAGAAAGGGTAACTATTATCGTTAATCCAGGTACAGTCGGGAAGGTTAAAATCACCAAATACATTATCTTTATCGTTCTTGTCTAGATTATTAAACACATTTTCAACGGACTTCTCAAATTCGGAGATGTAGTCAATACGATAATCGGGAGGTAGATTTATACAGACGACATAAAGTCGGCATTTCGAAATGGTCAGTTCTATCCATACACCCTCGAAATTGGCCTCTAAATCAGGTCTGTGTTCACAATGAAAATTCGAGTTCACAGCAAGTAAAACACCTCCACCTCTTGCTTTTGTAGCAGTAGATAAGGATCTGTCATTTCTAAGACATTGAAAAACGAGCTGTCAAACAACCCACCGCTTAAAATTCCACCCTGCAGCCAGGTTTCACTGAGAACTATCATGTCGAATCCGTGGGACAAAAATTGGATTCAATATATTCATTTGGTTAACAATGCTCCTAGCATTCTAATAATGATATTTAAATTGTATAGGCCCAGGATGAGGATGCACATCTCCATATCCCCACAGAGAGGAAAGAAAAGGAAACATACCACAGTTACTGGGTTTGTTAGTACCTTGGTTCCTCGGAATAGTGAACATCCACCGCACAACAGTCCTCACCTCAAAACTTCAAAGTCTCCTCGGCAGGAATCACTGATAAGCTGAACAAGCTTAAGGCGTCATGAAAAAGCACAAACTGAAGACAAAACGGTGATCGTCGGAGAAGTGAAAACGGGATAAAATCTAAATCGCCGAGAGAGCAATTCACGCCCCACCTGCACCAGCGGCCATCTTGACGATTCCTCCTATCATTATTTATATTATTAGAAACATTCCGCCAGTAACACTTCCCGTCTTACATGACCGATTATTTGATATTTAAAACATCATCATTACATTTTGAATAGAGCGATTTTAATCATCTGTTGTGATTCACATTGATAATAACTATTTTTGAAACTGTGGACAATAAGACGATTGTTTCACGATTCGAATATTGTAAAATCCTATATTTTCGTTTGGCTCGGTTTTCGTGCTTAAAAAAAGAAAAGCAAAAAATCTTTTGTGAAAAATTGATATCATGGATAAATATAGCACAAAAGTCGTACTTATTTTAACGCTTCGTAGATAAATATGAATTCGTGGCTTAAGAGTACCCGCAAAACCAACGGAAATAAAAATACTCGAAAATTCATGATTTTACAATGTAAGACAATCAGCCAAAACAGACTCATTTAAAACTAGCCTTAGAAGGATATTTAAGAAACGGTGCGTAGTTTTAATCTGAACTCGTGTTACAGCAAATTGTCTTATTTTATATTATCCGACAAGGCTAAATATAAACAAAATCCATCAAAGGCTTAACAGAAACCTGGAAGATCAACAAATATATTAAAGCACATCCACAAGGATCTAGAAAATAGTTAACATCGGTGAATGTCGCTTTACCGCTATCAGTTATCTCATCCTGAAGTTTAGTGTAGTATGAGGATAGCTTTCTCCCATCTCAACATAACTTGTTATTCAGATATCACATATTGATCTATTACTTTCACTAACATCTCACAAATCTATGCAGTAATTCACTGACAAGTGTTATAAGAATAATAGATCTCAATTCCCTTTACAGATACTGTTAGCTATACCGAATGCCTTTCCCTTATATAACACGGGCATTGTCGTCCTTTTGAACGTTTTCGAATGATTCACACCATGTCTTGAGTGAACCGTTAAAATTACCATGTTTCATCTCTATCTCTTACAGATCTGTCTTCACAAATATGAAAGGTTCTCTCGAGTGATGATAAACAATGGTGAGACGACCAGTCTGTGATTTAGGAGATGATCTGTTGCTATGTACCACTGAATAAGTAGAGTAGTCGAATACTGATAAACTTACAGAACGCCTATCGCGGCACATTTTCTACAGGTTCGTTAAGTCAATAGAATAGAAGTTCTTCTAACACGACCAGTAGAAGATTTGAGTGTGATGTTTCGATGACTACACAATCACCTTCTTCAAACGAATAACCAGTGTAGTGTAAGAGATTGTGAGATTTTTTTTTTAAATTTTCTTTAGCATAGCCCTATGTACAATAAAGAAGAATATAGCCCTGCGTACACTAAGGAAACTAAGGTTGAACTATTGATAAATTTTGAACAATATATTTTACGGGATTCTCGACATGACGTAAGCGTACAGAACACTGTACGTGCGAGTTGATAAGAAGCTAGTCTGGGGGCTTGGTTTGAATTATCAACTAACAGCACATATAAACAAACAAAACTTACAAACAGAACATCAATTTTGTTTTAATCCTTGTCGTTGTAGCATGATCGTCTTAATATATAACATCACTTTACCTCAGTAGACGTCACCGAATTGGAGTGTTCGTCCCACGCGCACACCCGCCGATATGACACTTTTTCAGGTTTTTCACACCCACCGCCATGACACTTTTTCATGTTTTTGAAGATAAAAAGTTTGCGCTTCGTAGGCAAGGTTCATTTGGTGCTCATGATTTATGAATAATATATTTTTAATACTGTACTAATCATGATGTTGACTCTGTTATAACTTATATTTTTTGTCTTTTAGTTTTATTTGATGAAGGTTGATTGTGCTGATTTCTCAAGGTTTGTTAATGTGTATCAAAGTTCCTTGAAATGAAAATATTCCTTCAAACAAAGCGCGTATAAAAAAATCCAAAACATTCATGTTTATAATTATCAATTAACTAGAACGAAATATTTCCATAACATATTTATTCATTTAGCGTGTCATAGTGACATTATCTAATGCATTGGATATCAGAAATCTCTCTGAAATGCTGTGTAAACCTTATCTACTTTCCTCAACTACAAATATAATTATAAGAATTAAGGACTATTACTTTGCAATACATTCAAACTAAAGAAGTAGGTATAAAGTCCTTTCGATTTGTTTAAATCCTCATATTGATAGAATAGTAATTGCAACATCTTGGGTATTTCAAAGGTTTTTTCAGTCAACTTCATCATAGAGCTATTTATCATTTGGCTTGTTGGCGATAAATATATGGTTGTGTGTATTTTGTTATTTTTTTTACCTATTTTGATTTGTTCACATTATTGTCGTCAAATTTGAAATAAGAATTAAAGAAGATATAAAATCGCTTAAAATTAAGAAAAATAACCTCTGGTTCTCTTATTTTAGTAATTTTTGCATTCCAAAGTGTAGCAGTATGGGGAAAGTAATATATCTTAGCGGTTATTTGTGAACATTTTTAATACGTTTAGCTTTTCAGTATTTTCAGTACTTTGATTCACTCTTTCAGTGATGTAGCTACATGGAGGCATTTCAAGGGGGAAGGGAGCGAACTCGTGCAGAATTGTGTGAGATATGTCGAAGTATCTACTTGAAAGTTTTTTACAATTTCCGTCAACAACGATAAGGTAACTTCTTTTGTGATGATTACTGAACAATCTTTTACAATTTTTATACTGTTTCAACAAACCATTTTGTATTTTGTTTGTGAAAATTCTCCGACACTCTGTCAATACATCTGTGGTACTTTCGGATGTATGAAACTTAAAGAAAGTAAGAAAACCAAACAAGCGCACGAGATATCTTGAGTTTATTACGGATAAAAAAATTCTGTAATAAAATACCAGATGCTTAGTTTAATATATGTCAAAACATCGCGGGAAACAGCAGGGCTTCACGTGCTTTAGGAATGGTATTTGTTTGTTATACAAAATCACGTGATGCCAAAATCAACACCACGTGATATTGTATACAAAATCATTTGACTGCCAAAGGTGGCCATGCACGAATTACACCACGTGATATTTCATACAAAATAATATTTGATTATTTAACACATTTATGGATAGCACCATATGACGTGACATGCAAAATCATATGAACACATTTAAGTAGTAACAAATAAGATCACGTGATATCACATACAAAATCATATGAACACTTTTAAGTAGTTACAAATAACATCACGTGATATCACATACAAAACCATGTGAACAAGAAAAGAATAAAACATTACGTGAATTCTTAAACTACATATTAAACGTTTCAGGCACAAACCACGTGACATGGTTGATAGTATATACAAACATATCACACGCTTGATGAGCAGTGACTCGACGTCGTAGCATGCATACGCAAAACTTGTAAGAGTCGTCTAAATAGAGAGACAACACCATAAACATATCATGGCGTAAACATATCGGGTGTCGAACACATACCTAGTACTACAAAAATATTTCAATTGCACCAGTAAAGTTTTCTTTGTGATGTGAATTCAGATTATAAATTATAAGATAAAACTGATGTCTGACTTTTCCCTCTCAGCGAGTCTTCGTGACCTGATGTTTAAAAAAATGAAAAAATGAAACAAGTAAATTTTGAAAAACACACATACATGTACTCAATGCATTGAACAGTTGAATACATCGAGCGCTTACTTACACTCAGCAGCTATGATGTGTAATGATATAACCCATTAGCTATCGAGTTAACCTGTTAGTCTTATGTCAGTCCTTAAATGTTAACTACAAAGAACTATTTCACAATCGTAAGTATAATGAACTAGTACGTTTTTCTTAACTTCCCTATAGTCAATTACACCCCATTACATTGGTGTACCCGATAGTAAGTTATACCCCATTACATTGGTGTACCCTATATTCAATTACACCCCATTAGATTGGTGTATACGATAGTAAGTACTAAGTTATACCCCATTAGATTGGTATACCCGATAGTAAGCTATACCCCATTAGATTGGTGTACCCGATAGTAAGCTATACCCCATTACATTGGTGTACCCGATAGTAAGCTATACCCCATTAGATTGGTGTACCCGATAGTCAATTACACCCCATTAGAATGGTGTACCCGATAGTAAGTTATACCCCATTACATTGGTGTACCCGATAGTAAGTTATACCCCATTACATTGGTGTACCCGATAGTAAGTTATACCCCATTAGAATGGTGTACCCGATAGTAAGTTATACCCCATTACATTGGTGTACCCGATAGTAAGTTATACCCCATTAGATTGGTGTACCCGATAGTAAGTAGTAAGGTATACCCCAGTAGATTGGTGTACCCGATAGTAAGCTATACCCCATTAGATTGGTGTACCCGATAGTAAGCTATACCCCATTACATTGGTGTACCCGATAGTAAGTTATACCCCATTACATTGGTGTACCCGATAGTAAGTTATACCCCATTACATTGGTGTACCCGATAGTAAGTTATACCCCATTAGATTGGTATACCCGATAGTAAGTTATACCCCATTACATTGGTGTACCCGATAGTAAGTTATACCCCATTACATTGGTGTACCCGATAGTAAGTTATACCCCATTAGATTGGTATACCCGATAGTAAGTTATACCCCATTACATTGGTGTACCCGATAGTAAGTTATACCCCATTACATTAGTGTACCCGATAGTAAGTTATTCCCCATTAGATTGGTGTACCCGATAGTAAGTTATACCCCATTACATTGGTGTACCCGATAGTAAGTTATACCCCATTAGATTGGTGTACCCGATAGTAAGTAGTAAGGTATACCCCATTAGATTGGTGTACCCAATAGTAAGCTATACCCCATTAGAATGGTGTACCCGATAGTAAGTTATACCCCATTAGATTGGTGTACCCGATAGTAAGTTATTCCCCATTATATTGGTGTACCCGATAGTAAGTTATCAGATTACTTTTCTCAGATCAGCGCTATTGAGGGGACGAACTAAATTCATTCCAAAGTTATATATATATGTGTGAGGTAGGGAACGGTCGATAAATATTTGTAGGTATGATCAGATTGCATTTACATAGGAAATATACGTAAAGATATACAATAAAAGGTACGTTAGTGTACAAATCATTTTGGAATAAATTAGGACAGATGGTAAACATTATTTTAAAAAATCAGCCATATATGAATTGATAGGTGAAACATTCGATAAGATGGTGTCTTTGTATAAGTAATTTTGTACTGCGCCACAATCGTAATTAACCTTCCGTGTCTGTGAAGGGTAAATGTGCTGTTCAATAACATCGCAATAGGTTTCTTCAGAGGAGCATGTCATTTTCAGTAAATATACTAGAATGCATAAGGCTGTTATTTACCCTGGAAAGCGATATCTAGCCTTTTACCGAGATTCCCTTGTTATACCTCAGGGGGAGACGGGAAGATTCTCCTGTCAGGACAAAAGTATGACGTCACAGCAAATAATTCAATAACACCACTTCAATGATATCAAACATTTAACCAACATTTCATGTTGATGGTATTATCAATCCTCCGGGTAATAAAACAGTCTCTGGATCATTGACGGCCATGGTAACGCTCCTGTTCGCTATTCCTTTGGATTCAGTGATTAGCCGTATGTTGTTCCTTGTACAGTTGCTTGCGTTTCTGAAATAATGTTCTCTGATTTATTTTTAAATATAGGTTTCTCTATTATCGGGCGTCCATGATAAAAGAAATTATTCAACTCTACTGCAAATTATTCCTAGTCCCAACAAGCATCGGTGTGTGAGTTTGACATTTTGACAAGTTTCACGGCGAATATCCCAATAAGTGTTCTTGTCTTTATCGAGGTAAACACACGGTAAATATCTTAATAATTGTTCTTGTATTTATCGAGGTAAACACACGGTAAATATCTTAACAAGTGTTCTTGTCTTTATCGAGGTAAGCACACGGTGAATATTCCAGTAAGTGTTCTTGTCTTTATCGAGATAAGCACATGGTGAATATTCCAGTAAGTTTTTTTGTCTTTATCGAGATAAGCACACGGTGAATCACATCGCCGTTACCACCTCACATAAGGATATATGATAAATAAACAACAAATCCAGAAAGAGTGTTCATTATAACCGTTTGTTGGGATCTAAAAAGTCTGCCTGTCGCATTCTCTGGGGATCTAATTTCGGAACTCTTGGCATCTTCGAATGGAATATCCTCCAGATGATAATTGCAAAAGTCACGATCTTTACAATGACAAACTTTAGCATTTTCAGTCTGATTACAAGCCTCATATTTCCAATTATGGTCACAGTCTCGCATATACACTGAAACAAGCAAACGTCGTGGTCTTAAACATTCAAACGAATATGTTTGTCTTCATACCACAAAAAGTCAGAACACTCGTTAGACATTCTGTTAAATGTAAACCATTATAACATTAAAAACAGGAGGTAGAGTGTAAGGCCTAGAGTAATCTATTCTGTTATACAGCGAATGTGTTATCATATTAACCGGTATAGTACACTGTGCTACAACGCGGAATTCACATATAACATTTAACGTTAACGGAAATTACGTGTTACGAGATTGAAAGGAGGTTATATTCAATCATGATATTTTATCAAAATTTATTGTATAACATGCAAACAACTTACCATCGAACACCTTATCACCTATTCGTTCCCTTTTTGCTGCAATTTTGCACGTGCCATTACAACTTACGATATTATCTACGTTTTGAACAGTAAGTTGAGCATGCCGACCACATATCTTTCGATGATTCAAGTTGTCACATTTATAGCACCGTAAACCATACCCTGAAACAGTAAAAAAGATAAAAATAGCACAGTAAACCATACCCTGTAACAGTGACAGAAATAAATACAGCACTGTAAACCATGCCCTGTGAACCATACCCTGTAACAGTGACACAGAAATAAATATAACACTGTAAACCATACCCTGTAACAGTGACACAGAAATAAATATAACACTGTAAACCATACCCTGTAACAGTGACAGAAATAAATACAACACTGTAAACCATACCCTGTAACAGTGACACAGAAATAAATATAACACTGTAAACCATACCCTGTAACAGTGACAGAAATAATTATAACACTGTAAACCATACCCTGTAACAGTGACACAGAAATAATTATAACACTGTAAACCATACCCTGTAACAATGACACAGAAATAAATACAACACTGTAAACCATACCCTGTAAACCATACCCTGTAACAGTGACAGAAATAAATATAACACTGTAAACCATACCCTGTAACAATGACAGAAATAAATATAACACTGTAAACCATACCCTGTAACAGTGACACAGAAATAAATATAACACTGTAAACCATACCCTGTAACAGTGACACAGAAATAAATATAACACTGTAAACCATACCCTGTAACAGTGACACAGAAATAAATATAACACTGTAAACCATACCCTGTAACAGTGACAGAAATAATTATAACACTGTAAACCATACCCTGTAACAGTGACAGAAATAAATATAACACTGTAAACCATACCCTGTAACAGTGACACAGAAATAAATATAACACTGTAAATCATACCCTGTAACAGTGACAGAAATAATTATAACACTGTAAACCATACCCTGTAACAGTGACACAGAAATAAATATAACGGTGTATACCATACCCTGTAACAGTGACACAGAAATAAATATAACACTGTAAACCATACCCTGTAACAGTGACAGAAATAAATATAACACTGTAAACCATACCCTGTAACAGTGACACAGAAATAAATATAACACTGTAAACCAAACCCTGTAACAGTGACACAGAAATAAATACAACACTGTAAACCAACACTGTAAACCATACCCTGTAACAGTGACAGAAATAAATATAACACTGTAAACCATACCCTGTAACAGTGACACAGAAATAAATATAACACTGTAAACCATGCCCTGTAACAGTGACAGAAATAAATATAACACTGTAAACCATACCCTGTAACAGTGACACAGAAATAAATATAACACTGTAAATCATACCCTGTAACAGTGACAGAAATAAATATAACACTGTAAACCATACCCTGTAACAGTGACAGAAATAAATATAACACTGTAAACCATACCCTGTAACAGTGACAGAAATAAATATAACACTGTAAACCATACCCTGTAACAGTGACACAGAAATAAATATAACACTGTAAACCATACCCTGTAACAGTGACACAGAAATAAATATAACACTGTAAACCATACCCTGTAACAGTGACAGAAATAAATATAACACTGTAAACCATACCCTGTAACAGTGACACAGAAATAAATATAACACTGTAAACCATACCCTGTAACAGTGACACAGAAATAAATATAACACTGTAAACCATAAATATAACACTGTAAACCATACCCTGACAGTAACAGTGACAGAAATAAATATAACACTGTACAGAAATAAATATAACACTGTAAACCATACCCTGTAACAGTGACACAGAAATAAATATAAACAGTGACACAGAAATAAATATAACACTGTAAACCATACCCTGTAACAGTGACACAGAAATAAATATAACACTGTAAACCATACCCTGTAACAGTGACACAGAAATAAATATAACACTGTAAACCATACCCTGTAACAGTGACACAGAAATAAATATAACACTGTAAACCATACCCTGTAACAGTGACACAGAAATAAATATAACACTGTAAACCATACCCTGTAACAGTGACAGAAATAAATATAACACTGTAAACCAAACCCTGTAACAGTGACACAGAAATAAATATAACACTGTAAACCAACACTGTAAACCATACCCTGTAACAGTGACACAGAAATAAATATAACGCTGTAAACCATACCCTGTAACAGTGACACAGAAATAAATATAACACTGTAAACCATACCCTGTAACAGTGACACAGAAATAAATATAACACTGTAAACCATACCCTGTAACAGTGACACAGAAATAAATATAACACTGTAAACCATACCCTGTAAACCATACCCTGTAACAGTAACACAGAAATAAATATAACACTGTAAACCATACCCTGTAACAGTGACAGAAATAAATATAACACTGTAAACCGTAACAGAAATAAATATAACACTGTAAACCATACAACAGTGACTGTAAACCATACCCTGTAACAGTGACAGAGTGACACAGAAATAAATATAACACTGTAAACCATACCCTGTAACAGTGACAGAAATAAATATAACACTGTAAACCATACCCTGTAACAGTGACACAGAAATAAATATAACACTGTAAACCATACCCTGTAACAGTGACACAGAAATAAATATAACACTGTAAACCATACCCTGTAACAGTGACACAGAAATAAATATAACACTGTAAACCATACCCTGTAACAGTGACACAGAAATAAATATAACACTGTAAACCATACCCTGTAACAGTGACACAGAAATAAATATAACACTGTAAACCATACCCTGTAACAGTGACACAGAAATAAATATAACACTGTAAACCATACCCTGTAACAGTGACACAGAAATAAATATAACACTGTAAACCATACCCTGTAACAGTGACACAGAAATAAATATAACACTGTAAACCATACCCTGTAACAGTGACACAGAAATAAATATAACACTGTAAACCATACCCTGTAACAGTGACACAGAAATAAATATAACACTGTAAACCATACCCTGTGAACCATACCCTGTTAAAGTGACTGAAATAAATATAACGCTGTAAACCATACCCTGTAAACCATACCCTGTTAAAGTGACTGAAATAAATATAACGCTGTAAACCATACTATGTAACAGTGACACAGAAATAGATATAACACTGTAAACCATACCCTGTAACAGTGACACAGAAATAAATACAACACTGTAAACCATACCCTGTAACAGTGACACAGAAACAGCACATTAACTCTCACCCTGCTACAGTTAATACCCTGAAACTTAGTTACATAGTTATAAATATAGCACTGTCACCCTGAAATAGTCGCAGAAAAAATGTTACACATACCCTTTAATATTGAGAAAGAAATGAATTCAGTACAAGAACCGTTAGCCTGCAATAGCATTTCATCCCATACTACAGAGTATGATGAAATATCGCACAACAAACTCTGAAAAAGTACCATACATTGTATCGACCTCCTATATGCCTTGGTCACACGCTTATAAAACAGTCCTAATTAGTGAGTTATACAATAGTTCTATAGCAGATATTTCCCAATTATAAACAAAATAAAAACTTAAATGCCATACATTAATAAATAGGATTTTTGCCTTAGTCAAGTATTTTTATGAAGTATTAAGGCACACAATTCACGCTCATATCTTTGCATCACCGTTCCTGCAACAATGAAGAACAGTGTGTTTCTTGAATAAGGAATAGAATGACGTAGAAAATAAAACGTGGAGGCGTCTTTGCAGGAATACATGTTCAACAGTTGTAAAGAGCGTTTTCGCATTCTTTGGATTTCGCTTCCGAAGGGTACAGTATCATGGAGACAATTAAGCCAGAACCGAAATGGCATTTTGAGGATTTACGAAGGTTTGGATACAGGATCGTCAGGAAAACTAACCATTCTTACACAAAAAAGGAATCAGATATAAGAAAGCCTCCTTTGTATATTTTATAATTGTAAGTTTGAACCGCTAATCTGTATTACTGAACTATTCTTCATTTGTATTTCGTCTCTTTGGGGGGGATTTCCGGGCTAGAAAAGGAAAATGTATCAAACATATTAGCAAAACCAAACGCAGTATTGATGAAACAAAACGGGACAAAATATTACTAAAGAGTCAATCTCGCGGATACGCTTGAGTGGCCTGGTGATGCCTGACCATAGTATAATAACGTGTTGCATTTGTGGTTAGATAAATAAATGTTACGGGTTTTCTAAACTAAAGTAAAATTTTATTTATTTTACAGCAATAGCGAAATAAGATTGAAGCGTGTCAATATTTTCTCTTGTTGGCACGAATGTTCGTTTATGCGTTCCGAAATACATTGCCGTACGTAAGGTATAAAATGTCTTATGATATTACACATAAAGATTGACTTCGATTTTTCTCAAAGTCAATGAGTGCAGTTAATTGTTTATATGTTGTTGTTGTTGACAAAGTAATTAACTGCGCACTTTCCGTACAGTGACACAAAGTCAAGTGTATGGTCAAGTCGCCCTTCCGACCGACATCCCATACAACACCGGTAATCATGTCAGAAACCATAAAAACCTTTGTGTGGTGAGAGTGTGTTTAAAGATGTCGTGACATTCATTGGTCGTAAGTAGGTCGTCATGATGAGAGAAATATAGAGACCTGAACAGTGATACAACAGATTATTAATAACCGGAAGAATGAATTATGTACCGTGAATACACCCGCATACTGACAAACAGCGGCTACCTTACGTCTGTGTTGTCCTAACACGACTTCAAGGTGCATAAATATATTTAGAAATCTTGACACAATCTATAAAGAAGTGATTGACTGCATTTACAAATTCATTAGACCAACTAAGTTGTATCTAGCTTTTTATAAAGAGTTCGTACAAGTAGCCCACAACGACATTTCAATACAACTCTGAAATTAGATGCAACAGTGGTGGGGTTTGAAAAGTGAGAAAATGGAACATGCCTTTATCTCGTCAACTCAATTAAAACCGCTGAACGAGAATGGTTATTTTCCACAAGAAAAGAGAGGGACACCACTGTGGTACAATTTGTACATTAAAACGTCCTTTTAAGACTATACAATGATGTAAGGCTATTAAAAAGA